TATATATAAATATATATATAAATATATATATAATATAAGTAAAGATAATAACGACGCTGTTTCACGAGCACCGCGACACAATTGGTACGCAGGCTACCGATAGACTGACGGGCCATGAACGAGCGCAACGAGCGCAACGAACAACCAGGTGAGAGGGGAGTTGGTACGCCCGCGCGCACACACACACGTTTGTGGGGTGTTAGGCTTGTCGGTCCGCCAACTACCACCAGAAACTCACCATTACTAATACCATCTCCACCTCCACCTTCAGAACCACCACCACCACCTTCAGCACCACCACCACCACCAACACCACCACCGCAGGGATGAGGCGGCCTTACGATGAGCTTTCTGGGTCGGAGGAGGTAGACGCGAGCGCAGGACTTTGTATGGTAGAGGGTGAAAGGGCTAGACTAGGGGGTGTCACGCGGTAAAATACGTCGAGAGGGGTCAACGGGGTGAGAGAGCGATGATATGCATCGCTATACTCCAAACATCATGGTAAGGTCGCATACTACTACTGTTTGCTATCTTATCCTAAGAGCAAGGAATCATCTTACATTAAATGCTTTTGCTACTATATATTTTTGTCCATCTTTTTTAAAATGAGGATAATGATAAAGTGAGATAGATGAATATAAACTTGTACAGTAACTCTCGTTTCCTGTGCTAGCAAGAAAAAAGTTCAAAGTAAGATAGAAATATGATGATTATGAACTAAGGAGAAAATCCTTAATTGGGACGTGTGAATTAATTGTATACGTTGTATTTTGTTTAATATTTTTCTTAGTTGACAGATGCCTGACGTATTTTCGAGCAAAATAAGGTCCTAATCATTCTGTGGCTATATTTTGAAAGAACACGCGACAGGTGCACTTGATATGAAGGTTCAAGCTCTTCCGCATGTTTCCAGATATGATCGATGATTCTACGAAAATTCAGCTGTTCGATTTATGACTTGGCGAAATTTTGATCCTTCCTCGTGGACAGGTGCATTGACGTCGATAGTTTCTGAAAAAAATACCCCCACACGAGCATACAAACGCATACAAATACACACACAATTTATTTGATCGATGAACACTGTTTAATTTAAACGTTCTTTAAACGTTTAACATTGTATTGTATAGATTTTGATTCAAATGATTTTTGTACGCGGATAATATATACATCACATAAGTAAGGTGTTTTGCTTTTTATTCTGGCGCGTGTTTTAAAAAGAAAAACAAACAAGAAACAGAGTAGAATCTTTGTAGCCACGAACAAACAACTGCTCGGTCGATGCCAAAAGACTGTAGCGCTACCTTGTCGAAGAAGATATTTTTCAACGTTTGACCTTACCATCAGTTACTACTTTCGATCACAAATTTTATCCATCAATTTTATGGTACGACCATCCGACACACTTAACATAATTATTTAAAATCAATCCACCAGACCGCGCGTTCAATATTTAATACGGATAAAATTGAAAGACGTAAAAACCTATCTAGGGAGAAAAACCTTGAGACTCGGATTGGAATACTTTCTTCTACGTTTCCGCATTACATTTTGTATTTTTTTTCTTTTTATGCACCAATGCAATCACGGAATGTGCATTATGTAAAAACATAATAAGTAGTATATTCTATAAATAAGAATTCTCGATTAATTAAAAAATTAACAACGTCAAATTTTATGGGGGCTAGGGTTATTTTTTTCTTTTAATTTTCAATTATTCGAAAAACATATCTTTTTGAAGATAAAACAATGTAGAATAAAAATATATTTTTCAAAGTTTTTTTTCTAAATTCGTATATTTTTCTTGTTAATTAATTTTAGTTCAAACTTACGACATCGGTGGCGTTGTTATCTACATCTATTGACGGTAACGTTGGAAACGACCATAAATGTAGCAAATTTCTGGTTATATTTGTTCAATTTATCTATATTATGTTATATAGTGATATTGAAAAAAAAAAACAAAAAAAAAACCCAACAAAAATAATTATAAAAATATTAAAGATACATAAAATGTATTGCTGACTTTATCAACGTAATCTTTATCATTTTTTTCCACGTTTTTCTTTTTTTTTAATTATTATCAGTACAGAAAAAGTTCACTCTATATAAATATGTATATTTTTATAAAAATTATTTTGCGATAATGTTTAAGAATATATAATTTTCAATAGTGCATAGTTACATAACTTAAAAATAGAATTATTGAGCGTACGTTCAAATAATAAACACATGTTATTGCGATATATTTTTTTCTTTTAGATTTATTGATTAAGATTATATATGTTAATAAATGTATAACAAGCTTCACCCTGTGGCATATAGATAACATTTATATCATATGAATCACATGGCTATGCCTAGTCAAGTCTAGACCAAAAAAATAAAACTAATCATATAACATCCGGATAGATTTATTTCTTAACTTACTATATAAAATCTAGCATATTAAATAATATATTTTACGAACATTCTATATACCATATAACGAAAACGACAGAAATAACTTAATTATGTTCCCCATTTAATAAACCCAATTAAAAAAAAAATATTCGATATAATAACATTATCAACTAGATTCAAATATTTCGTGAAATAACGTAAATTATAATAACGATAAGGAAAAAAAATTACTCCGGAAAACTATTATTTCTCAATGATCTCGCAACTATCGTTTGAACTTGTGATCGTTATTAATACCAATTAAAAAAAAAAGTTTGATCTATTTTTAAACAGCATTAAGATAATAGAATATTCGAAAGACATATAAGAAACATATTTTATCGTACGTAAATCCTTCGATTGTGATATTAAAATTTTATCGAACTTTTCCATCCTCTCAGTTATCGACCGAGAAATTGATCTGACTTACAGCTTACAGAATACTACATGATGGTTCCTTCGATTGTTTTCTATCCTACTGAAATACTCTTTTCTTATATATATATATATTTTATTTAAAGCAACAGAAAAAACTATCTCCCCACGTATAAGAGAAAACGTTTGATATTAAAATTTACAGTTTTTGATTTAACGAATAATATTTAATTCTTCTTTTTAGAAATGGTATCTCATACGAGTATGAGAATAAATCGATCGATATTTCTCGAACGTTTATTCATCGACAGTATTTTACGAGTTATCTTATCATAATTCGTTCAATAATATTCAACAATTTTCTCTAGCGTAGATATAAGAATTAGATTTTTTGTTAACGTTTTTATTCTTACGTATAAACGGAAATGAATAGAAATTATTTTATCGTACCGTTAGATTGATTTTTGAATTATCCAATAGGTACGATTGAGATACCAGTAGTTGAATGTACGAGAGACATATGTATATATTTAAAAAAAAAAAAAGAAAAAATGGAATGGAAAGATAGATACTTTTCCTTATGTCAATATAGAAGAGGGGCTGACCGGTCAAACTCCGTGAAGTAAGATAGCTGCTTCTGCTTGCGTTTGAACAACGATATCAACATGCAGCTATTTTAACGTAGAATATATGTACATTTCTTTTTTTTTTTTTTTTTTTTTTA